TCTGACCCTTGCAATTGCCAGCGTTCGCCAGGCAAATTATCTGCTCTCTCTCGGGGGGACAAAAACTTGTTTACTTTGCTTTTATTTTGCTTGCGGTAGGCCTAGTTGGGGTAGGCCTAGATACCCAGAGTAATAGTAGTATATATATATAATTATATGTGTATATATATATAAATATATATATATATATATTATTTATTCATTTATATATTTATATATATGCATGTATATACATATGCAAATACACATACACACACACACACACACACACACACACACACACACACACACACACACACACACACACACACACACACACACACACACAGTATATATATATATATATATATATATATATATATATATATCCTTTTCTCTCTCGCTCTCGTTCCCTCGTGTCCTCGCTCTCACTTCCTCTGATCCTCCCGCCCGCACCTGCATTCCCGCAATACCTCCCTCGTCATATGTCTTCTCTTTACTCAAGTACAACAATCCAACAACAAAAGTCCATCTAGCGAAAGTCCAGCCAGTCCTTCGACCTTCAGGCTTGGCTTAACGATGCGTGTAAAAGCGCTTCTCAAAACAAGCGGCCAGCAATCAATGAATGGAACAGCTGGCGTAACAAACACTAATGGGTTGATGTGTTTATGCTTATGTAAATAAACGTAACTCTCCGTACGTCAACTATCGATGTTTCTTTCTTCTTTTTTTTTGGTTATCTATGGTACGATAAGCTATCACCTGAGGGAGAGGTACCGAAGGAGGGAGATATCTGCCGGGGAAGACACGTGGCCGGGCGCCGAACGTACCATCGGGCGAGCGGTCGAGTTGCCAGATCTATCTAGCGAGTTATTCTGGCTAAGAGACGAATGTATTTGTTTAATATTCAGTTACGTGGTGGAAAGTCAATGAATAAACAGGCGCTTGTTTGTTCTGAGGCGTTATTTTGGTTGGAGGACACTTGTTGACAACTCGGGTGGGGATAGGGGGCTAATCCCTCGCTCGGCCATACATTGCCGACTTTTCGGTTATGTAAAAGTTCGTTATAGACGGAGGTTTTGATCGGTGAGCGACGCTGGCACTCGGACGACAGCGCCTCTTTGTGGTCTTTGTCATGGGGCATCCAGCGCACTAACTGGGTAGGTAATGTGTGCCTGAGATGGCAAAAGATATGGAATTTTTATGTCTTCGCCTCGCGCGTTTTTTCCGAGCGGACGGCAGCCAATCGGGAGCGTTGAGGGTTGACAGTGTCACCCTCCGCCAATCAGCGCGCGGCGTCAAGTGCCACCGTTGGGTTACTTACTCTGTAGTGCCACAACTGCCTCGTCATGAAATAATACGTTATTTAATTCCGTGGGTATTTCGAATGTGATTTTACTTCTCTGTCACTTTTACGTTCAATTTCTGTTGTCGAGAACGTTGTCAGAACCACAAGTCACTCTCGATTCAAGTTCACGCTGATTTCCCTTGTAAAAGTCTGTCCCTCGTGGCGGTAGGATGGCACCAGCCCCGTCCTGGTGGCACTCGTCGGTGATAATAGCTTACACCCCCGCACCGATCATAAGCAAACTTGACCTCGTGCCAGACACAAGTGCCCGGGCACCACCTCCTGCCTGCCTCGCCCTGCCCGATTCGCCGCGACCTCAAGGGCCTCCACGTGGCACCCTTGCAACCCGAAGAAGACCCGTCTGGCGAACAAGGAGGCACCAGCGAGGACCTCGTTTACCGGGATTTATGTGCAATAGACAGACCAAAGAAGTGACTAGACTTACCGAACCGCTTTGTGGTTGAACCCAGTTTTGTTTTGATTCGCTCCGCGCCCGCACGGTGACTTCCCCCAGCGCCGGCAGACCGACGGTGACGTCTTGGCCCCGCGGACGCCAAGCACGGTCGCCCTCCGATCTCAGGCCTAAAATAGTCCTTGACCCACAGGTGAGTGCAGGACGGGGAGGTCGACACACTTTGACCCCACGGGAAGGTGCGGGGTGCCAATCCCTCTCCCTTTCACCCTTGAGGAACGAATTTTGCCTTGAATTTAAATTTGGAAAGAGCAAACGGTTTTGCTGAAATGCTATCAATCATGTCGGTGTTTAAACTTTGCCTTGATTTTAAATTCATTGATATAATAGGCTTTAGAACAGGGATATAGATTTGGGTATTTTTTTTCGTCCTTTTAATCTATAGTTTTGTTAACATTAGTGGAAATGGTATGATTTACTTTAATTTGTGGTTGATTTTATTGTCTTTATTATTATTATTAATTTTGTCATTGTCAGTATTATTATTATTATTATTGTTATTGTCGTTTTCATTATTATTACTATTATTATCACCATCATTATTACCATTATTATTATTATTATATTTTTATCATTCATTACTATTGATCTTATTACATTATTTTACTATTATTGTTATAATTATTATTACTATTATTATTACTATTACATTTTTATTATTTTCATTTTTATCATTATTATTATCACTATTATTAGTAGTATGACTGTTGTTATTGTTATCATCCTTTTCATTATTATTATTATTACTATTATCATTATCATCGTTATTACTATTATCAGTAGTATTATCAGAATTTTTCTTTGCTATTACTATTACTGCTAATACTGATACTACCACTTCTACTACTACTGCTGCTGCTGCTGCTACTACTACTACTACTACTACTACTACTACTACTACTACTACTACTACTACTACTACTACTACTACTACTACTACTACTACTACTACTACTGCTACTGCTACTGCTACTGCTACTACTACTACTACTACTGCTACTACTACTACTACTACTACTACTACTACTACTACTACTACAACTACTACTACTACTACTACTACTACTACTAATATTACTACTACTACTATTATCACCGCTACTACTTATACTGCTGTTACTGCTACTATCGCTACTACTATCATCATTATCACTATAATTAATATCAGTAGTAGTATCATTATCATTACTATTGTTAATATTGTTATCGTCATTGTTATATCATTATTAGTATCACCTTTGTAATTTTAATATTATTATTGTTATTATCAGTATTATCATTATTGTTCATTTTCATTGTAATCATTGTTACTATTACCTGATTTTTTAAATAATAGTAGAACCATCACTATCATCATCTTTATCTTTAAATTCATCTTCATCTTCATCATCTTCATCATCTTCATCATTGCTCTTGTTATCATAATCAATGTTATTATCATTAATATAATAATTATTAGGATTATTCCCACTGCTACTGCTATTACTACTACAATTACTACTACTTTTGCTACTACTATTACCAATTCTGATACTACTACTATTACTACTATTCCTACTACTACAGCTGCTGCTCTTGCTATTGTCATTAGTGCTATTATTACTATTATTACTTCTATTCTTACGATTACTATTACTATTACTACTATTACTTCTACTCTTACGATTACTATTACTATTACTACTAGTGCTACTACTCAACTACAAATACAAATACTACTGCTAATACCACTCTTGGTATTACTGTAAACTACCTTATTATTGTTGCCATCATCATCATCATCATCATTACACCATTATTGTCGTTATTACTATTATCATCTTTACTAATGATATCATACTTCTAATTCTCATAATTCTAATAATTCATAATCATAATTCTAATTCTATTATTTCCATGACTGTTTTTATTCAAGATGCAGAAGTAATTAATTCTGTTATCATAATTATCAATAAAGATAGATTTTACATTGTTACTGCTATTAGAATTTGGAAGAAGTACTGTTAGTCTTTGGATTTTATCTTTGATAGTATTCTTTGCTGTTGTAATTGATACTGATGTTAATTATTGATTAATTTGCATATCAACTTCCATTATTATTATTATCGTTAACATTAGCGTCTTTTTATTACTATCAGATATGACTATTTATGTTTGTACCAGTAGTAGTAGTTGTAGTAGTAGTAGTGGTGGTGGTAGTAGTGGTAGATATATTACTAGTAGTAGTAGGAGCAGAAGTAGTAATAGTAGTAGCCTTAGAAGTAATAGAAGTAGTAGTAGTAATAGTAATAGTAGTAGTAGCAATAGTTGTAATAGTAGCAGTAGTAGTAGTAGTAGTGGCGTTAGTAGTAGTAGATATATTACTAGTAGTAGGAGGAGCAGAAGTAGTAATAGTAGTAGCGTTAGAAGTAGTAAAAGTAGTAGTAGTAATAGTAGTAGTAATAGTAGTAGTAGCAATAGTTGTAATAGTAGCAGTAGTAGTAGTAATAGTAATAGTAATAGTAATAGTAGTAGTAGCAATAGTTGTAGAAGTAGTAGGAATAATAATAATAATAGCAGGAGGAGAATGGATTGTTTGTTGTTTATCATTTTCTATTTCTTATCTGCATTTATTATCTATATTGTTTTTATTGTTATTTTGTAATCTTTTTCCATAGTTTTATTATCATAATCATCACCATCACTACTGTTATCCTTCGTGATATTTATTTGATCTTTTTACTTGTATTACTAATCTTGGTATATCATCATTATAACACGCGCTATTAAGTATATATTAGTTATAATTATTACCATCGTCTTTTATAAAAGTTTGACATAAATCTCCTGGCTTAAACATTACATAAGAAACATTTATTTTTTTCAGAAAGAATGAATTTTAAAACTTAATCCTCAACAGAACGTTTTGTTGCATGGCGCCGAATGACGCAATGGCCACGGGGGTTGCGTCATCGTGTCCCGTTGGCCGAGTCGTGATTTTGTGTGTTCGATGTCCCCTTTTGAGTGATTTTGCGATTACGTTATGTTTCCGCGGTTTTATCCTGCAATTAGATTATCATTCTCATTTATTGCCTTGTCTCCTGGTGGTTCATCTTTTGTCCTGCTTACAGCCAATGGGGGAGCGTAATTTCTTTTCTTTTTTTGTATTGTAATGGTATTTGTGTTTTATGATTGTTATTAACTGTATTTCTTGCGTTGCAGGCGATCGCACGATGCATCTCGAGGACTACACCAGCAGCCACGCTGGCTCCCCCGAGCCCCTCATACCCTCACAGCTGACCTCCTGCGACCTGGGCGGCCTCATCAGTCCTCTCGGCGAATCTCCTCTGTCGGGGTCGCCCCTGGGCCCCCCGGCGGCGTTCTCGCCCCCGACCATCAGCGTGGAGGCGCCGCAGGAGTCGGCCGCCGGAAACTCGACGTCCCTGCTGTCGACGGCCATCACGGGCGCCCTCGGCGAGCTGCACGGAGACCTCTACCTGGCAGGGGACGAGTGGCCGCCCTCCCTGGAGAACCTGCTGACGGCGCTGCCCAGCAGCTCGTCCCTCCCTGAGCTGGTCGTGACGGACCCTCGGCCCACAGAAGCCTCCATGTTCTCCTCGCCCATGCCGCCGCAGCAGCCCTCCTCGGGGCTCCTGGACCTGCCACAGAACGAAGGCCTCGACCTGTACCTGGGCGGCACCAGGTGCTCGGCGTCCCCCATGAGCGTCTCCCCGGGCGGCTCGTCGCTGCCCTCGCCCTTCACCTCCGCGCGCGGCTCCTTCAGCTCCACGCGGCGCAACAAGCGGCCCTACTCCTCCTCGCCCATGAACGTGGACGGCCTCGACCTCAACGCCATCATCCGCTCGTCGCCCACCTGCCTCAACGCCGGCTCGCCGACGCCCACCACGCAGGCGCCGCCGCTCTCCTTCTCGCCCACGGGCGGCAGCTACGGCCACATCCTCCCGCGCCCGGAGGCCAACAACAACCAGCCGCCGCGCCCCAACCTGACCTTCCAGGCCCTCCTCGGGGACGAGGAGGTCCTCAAGGCCAACAACAACAACAACCACATCAACGCCTTCCACGCGCAGAAGGTGGAGCTCAAGTGCGAGCCCGACGAGCAGCAGGGCTCGCCGCAGCACCACGACCACCAGCACCAGGACGGCGAGGAGGGCCGCCCCGGCAGCCCCGGCGAGGAGGACGGCCCCAGGTTCTGCCGCTGGGTGGACTGCAACGTGTACTTCCCTTCGCGCGAGAGCCTGTCGCGGCACATCGAGAAGGCGCACATCGACCAGCGCAAGGGCGACGACTTCACCTGCTTCTGGGCGGCCTGCCAGCGGCGCTACAGGCCCTTCAACGCGCGATACAAGCTGCTCATCCACATGCGCGTCCACTCCGGCGAGAAGCCCAACAAGTGCACGGTAAGTGGATGCGCTCACTCCTGTCTCGGTATCAAACGGCGTTCAGTAGCCAGTTCTCCCATTTCTCTTCTTTTCTCTTTCCAGTCCTCCGCTCTCTCCTCTCTTCTCTCTTCTTCTCTGTCTCTCCTTCTTCTTCTCTTGTCTCTTTCTCCTCTCTCTTTCTTCTCTTCTCTTTTTTTCCTCTCTCTCTCTCTTCTCTCTCTCTCTCTCTCTTCTCTCTCTCTCTCTCTCTCTCTCTCTCTCTCTCTCTCTCTCTCTCTCTCTCTCTCTCTCTCTCTCTCTCTCGCATCTCATTTGCGTAATACTCTGATTTATAGGCGTTCTCTCACTCTCTCTCTCTCTCTCTTTCGCATCTCATTTCCTTTCCTTTCGTATTTATATTTCTTTCTTAATGATATTGTATTGTTATCATTATTGTTATTATTAGTTTTTTTATATTCGTAGTAATTATCATTATAATTATTGATATTATTACCATTATTACCGCTCTTTGCACGTTAATTCTTTCCCTTGTCTTGTTTTCTCTCTTCTCTTTCTCTCCTCTCCGTAATTTACTCTTGTTCCCGCTCATTTACATAATGGATACGGCTAATAATGTTTCTATTATCTCTTTATTTCACGCTTAATTTCCCTTTCCTTTCCCTCGTGGTATCTCTTTGCCCTCCGGAATTTTTTTTTTTTTTGTCCTGGTAGTTGCGATAGAAGAGATGAGACTTAGAGAAGAGAGAGAGATGAGAGACGAGAGAAGAGGAGGGAGAGAGAGAGAGAAGAGAGAGAGGAGAAGAGAGAGAGAGAGAAGGAAATAGATGAGGAGAGAGAGAGAGTGAGTGTGAGAGGAGAGAGAGAGAGAGAGAGAGAGAGAGAGAGAGAAGACAGAGATGAGAGACAGAGAGAGAAAAACAAAATCATCCTTAGAATATTATTGTCATCATATCCCCATTGTTATTAAATTTCTATAATTTTTTTCCAAATATTATAAAACAAAAATTTCAAGGAAGATTTATTTTCCTCTCTTCATCTTCCGCGTCTTTGTCTGTCTTTCTCGACTTTCAAATTGCTCGTTTCGTCGTTGGAGATAATGCATTATTTCACCATTTATATTTCCACTCATTTCTCTTTTCCTGTCTTTATTTTCTTTTGTTTTTTATCTTTTTTTGTCTTTTCTCCCTCTTCTCCTCCTGCCTTACTCTAAAACCTATGCTCAAGTTGACCCTTCCAAGTTTATGACTTTTTCCCCCCTCCCCGCCCCCTCTCCCCTTCCCTCCACCAAGGTGACTCCCCGCCCCTCTCCCCACCCCCCTCTCCACCCCTCCTCCAAGCTATCGCCCCTCCACCCCCTCCTCCAAGATTTGACTCCCGCCCCCTTTTCCCCCCTCCCGCCCCCCCTCCCCACCCCTACCTCCAAGGCTTGACCTCCCCCTGCCCACCCCCCCTCATCACCCCCTTGACTCTTTCCAAGGTTGACCCCCACCTAGATCTCAAACTCGCATACGCCTCTCTCCTCTCTTCACCCCCTCCACCAGTTGACTCCCCGCCCCCCTTCTCCCCCCCCGCCCCTCCTCCACCCCCTCCTCCAAGGTGACCTCCCCCACCCCCTTCTAAATGACGCGATTTGCGTGCATTAAAAACGTTTTTAAGACCAAGAGGCCAGGCGTTCCCCGGTAGTTTATTAGGACCCAGACCACCCACCGTCCGTCTCGCCGCCGCTTACTGGGGTCTCGTGTCACCCCAGGGGCAGCCAGCAGGTCCTTGTGTGCGTGTGAGATTGTGTGCGGTGACGTGTGGTTGTCTGTGTGTGGTGTGGGGGGGTTGGTGTGTGTGGTGGTGGTTGTGTGTTTGTGTGGTACTTGTGTGTGTGGTATGTGTGTTTGTGTGTGTGTTGTGTAGTGTGTGTATGTTTGTGTGTGTGCTTCCGAGCAGTCTGAAGCGTTGCTGGCATCAGCATGTTCCATCCAATGACTGTCTGTTGTGTGTCGGTTGTAGCGTGCTTGAAGGTTTTCCGGGACAAAGAGTTTATGGAGAAAAAATGGACCCCTTGGTTCGACGCTACACCTACTTTGGCCTCTCACTCGATATAGCACAGTCCAGACGTACTCACCAACGGGATCTATCGTGCATATGTTAACCTCGGAATTACATTAGTCATCCTTCAACATATCACGTGTCGGCTACAGCAACTCGTCTAACTCCGGCAGCAGACACATACTACCCGATGTATCGCTTGGCATCAATACGCGCTCATGTACCCATGGGCTCTACTGCTACACATACATTGGTCTGTGAACATGACATACGATTGCACAGGTAATCCGCTGTCACATATATTTATATATGATAAAAAAAATTTTTCCAAACCGCGTTAAAGAATGCACCCCTACACCTCGTGCTGAACGACGACACACGCAAAAGAAAACGCTCACACACACGACGCACACGTTCTCTCTCTCTCTCTTCTCTCTCTCTCTCTCTCTTCTCTCGTCTCTCTCTCTCTCGATCTCTTCTCTTCGTCTCTCTCTCTCCTCTCCCATAAAACACAACACACACACAAAGCGACACGCATCCCTCCCAGTTCATACACGCATACGCACACCTGTCTGCATACAACACACACACGCACCCCCCCCCCCCCACACACACACGGCAAGCACTCGCGGCCCCTCTAGACACGACCGCCTTCCTGATCAAATCCTACCCACCAGAGCGATTTCCACAACGCCCACCCCCACCCCCCCCAGCCCGCACCCACACACACAGCGACTACATCTCGTAACTCCCCCCACCACACACAACACTCTGCACCAATCGTACCCCCCCAATGTAATTTTCCACCGCCACACCACACGCCACCCCACCCCAACAGCCCCCCCACACGACAAAACCACCCCCACACTTCCGACACCACATCACACAACTACACGGCACCCACCCCCATACACACACACACCACGCACCCCCTACCCTACACACTAAACCACGTACCCCCCCCACATACACATACACACACGCACCCACCCCCATACACACACCCCCACCCCCACCCCACCCCACCCCACACCACACACACACACACACGCACACGCACCCCTACACCCTCGCCCCGCACATACCCCGCGTGCACCTACCATGCCCTCTTACAAACAACAAATAATTATGGGGAAGATTCGAGAAGCTGCTCGTCTTTGGAGGAATCTTGGACAGCCGGTTCGTGTTAGGTGAATGGGCGGCGGTGACTCAGAAAGTGTGAGTGAGTGAATGAGTGTGTGAGTGTGAATTTGTGTCTGTAGGGGGGTGAGTGAGTTTTATGTGTGAGTGAGAGAGTGTATGTATGTGTGTATGTATGAGAGAGTGTGTGTGGTTTTTGAGTGAAGTGAATGAGTGAAAGTGTGTGTGAGATGAGTGTGCTGAGTGTGGCTGAAATTTGTGTCTGTAAGGGGTTGAGTGAGGACGCTTCTAAACTCCATCAATGGCGGCGTTTGTGTGGAGTGAAATGAGAGTGTGATGCGGGTGTGGGTGTGAGTTGGAATGAGTGCTGTTCAAGTAAATGAGTGTGCGTGGGGAATTATGTGTGTGTTAGAGGGCGGTTGACGTGAGTGTGTGTGTAAGTTGAATAGGAGAGTCTGTGTGTGTTGATGTGAGTGAAGGAGAGAGTATGTTGAAGTGATCATGAGTGGTAGTGATAATTTGTGTCTGTAGGCGGGTGAGCTGAGTTGTGGAATGCAGTGTTTTTTTTTTTTTTTTTTTGAAGTGATGTGTGAGGTCAGTAAATGAGTGTGTGAGCTGAATGAGGCTTGTGTGTGTGAATTTGTCCGAGCGCGATCTCTCCGAAGGTCAATCGCATTGGTCTCGCCACTACAGTCCTCTAGCCTAGCTCTGATCTGATGCTCCTGCTGTGGTTTGAGTGTGTGTGTGTGCGTGTTGTGTGTGTGTGCTAGATTTAAACCCCCTGCCCCCTGACATGTGTTGTTGCACATGCTGTGTTGTGTGCGTCGCTTCCCTTGTCCTGCGGAGCGCTCTTCTGTCCATGGATAACTTTCACCCACAATCGGTCGTATTAATTTGTAAAACTCTACTGCTTTTCTCTCTTTTTTTCCATCCCCTTCCTTCATATTATATTGTTATTTATATTCATATCATATCTTGAATTATCATCAGTTTCTTCTCCCTATTTCATAGTTTTTCTCTCTCTCTCTCTCTCTCTCTCTCTCTCTCTCTCTCTCTCTCTCTCTCTCTCTCTCTCTCTCTCCTCTCTCTCTCTCTCTCTCTCCTCTCTCTCTTTCTCTCTCTCTCTCTCTCCTCTCTCTCTTTCAGCTCCTTCTTCCTCATCATCCCTCTCCTCTCTCTCCTTCTTCTCTTTATCTCCTTCGCCTTTCCGCTCTACTTCGGTATACTCTCTCCGTGCGCACTATTACTATCTCGCTATCTATCTATGATACTCTCAATGCTGCTGCTCTCTCGTTTAGCTCTCCCTCTTCCGTCCAGCACGCCTACGCTAACCACCTCCCGGACTATACTCTCATCTACAATATTGCCCTCGACATCGCTCTGCCTGTCTCGTGCGTTTCAACTCCTCTCGACCATTCACCTCGTCCAATTCCTCCTCCTTCTCTCTCTCTCCCTTCCTCATTGTTATCTCGACGAACTGTCTCCGTTACAACTTATGCTCTTTACCCTACTTTATTCTCTCTCTCTCGATTCTTTGAGCTCCCTCGCATCTTGTACTCCCTCTGCCTCTCGGTCCCTCCCTCGTATCTCCCTCTCACCTCTCCTCCTCCCTCTCCTCCCTACACCTCTCGTGTCTACGTTCGTAGCTCTCCCCTGCTTCTACCCTCTCGTCACTCTCTCGTCGTCTCTCCACTTCTTCTCCTCTCCTCCCTCCGAGCTTACTCTCATCATCCTCTTCCCTTCCATCTTCATCGCATCATTCCCGTCTCTCTCTCTCTCTCCCTGTCTCTCTCTCTCACCTCTGCTTCTCCAATCTCACTCTCTTCCATCCCTCCCTC